GCGGGCAGGGATCGCGGCAATCAGGGATCGCGGCAATCAGGATAGGATGGGTATGAGAGGCGGCAATTGCAACGTGGGCTTGCGGGTTCAGGGTACACACATTGGGACCCCTCTGCCACCCGGTACCCCGGGCACACTTACCTGCAGCAGCACGCGGAAAATGTACCAGCCGATGATGAGCAGTTCAGCCGATGCTGCCGCCACTGCCGCCATGGTCCCGAGAATGGGTGGTTGAGAGAGTTTGCCGAAGGCTGAGGGTTCGCCGAGGGCCGCTGGTCTCTCGAAGTCCGCTGTTGGGCGCACTGCCGCAGCCGCCCCTTAAGTATCCGCCCGCCACCCAAATGCGCATGCGCACTTGGGGGGAGGGGGTCCTATAGGGTGGGGGGACCGGGGGCGCTCCTCATTCGCTAGGAGAGGAAAAAATAATCCATCTGCTCTTTCCACACCGACCCCCGCCTCCAGAGTTTCATTTTAGCCCCTTTCCAGAAGATTCTGCTGTACTCGCTTTTGAATTTTAGTGTAAAATGGAGGGGGATTGCAACTCTGAGTAGCGAACTGCCCAAGTGTAGGGTTTGTGCGCCTCTTGTACGGACCTCATCTCTTTGAGCCCAATGTCCGGTGCCGTCCCAGAACCTACCTGGGGCACAGATGGATACCTAATTTAGAGAGGGATCATTTACCCACGGAACAGAAAAGGCTGCCCCTTCCAGGAGCCTTGTCTTCACAGGCCCCTGCTCAGCGCTCTTTTTCGAATATTTGATGTGCTGTAAGCCAGCGTCCTCTGTTTCACAGGAGTCTCTGAGCGTGTAATCTTTCCCTGGTTCCTTGAGTCCCACTTCTTACGTTGCTAGACCTATGGCCATGGCGATTGTAGGATTCCTGCCAGGGCACTGAACTCTAGGCGGGAAAACGGTAGTTACTGGGTATACCCTCTGAGAGGGGTACAGGAGGGATTGGCACCTTTGTATGTGCAGAAGGGATGGGATGAGCTCTCGCGTGAAGTGGTCAGAATGCGCTGTGGGATAGTTTGCTGCTGGACAGGTCATTTCAACCTCTGTCTTCTGTTCTCCACCCCCACCCCCACCCCCCCCCCCCCCGCCTGGTCTTCCGCAGCCAACGAGGTTCTTTGTATTCGTTGCTCTGGGCGGCTGGAGCAGGGTTTTGCTACCGCCACCAGAGGGTTGTGGCTGCCGCGGTATCCAGGCGCATCAATTAGACCTTAACGCGAGCGGGTCTGCGAGTGCGGCTCCAGCGCACTGGTGGCCCGCCACCGGAGAGCACTTCTCTCCAGCACACTGCCTGGCACAGGGGCCAACTAGCATTTGCCCCTATGTGGACAGAAAATTAATTTTTATTAAAGGCTCACAGAAATCGGGTTCTATACAGTGCCAGCAGCAGATGGAGAGTGTAAGTGATCCAAGCGAGGTCGGTTTAGACAAAGTAGCATGGTGATTTTTAATTTTTTTTTATATTCACTTTCTAAGAACTTGGCTGATTTTGGTAAAATGACGCCAAGCTAATTTGTAAAAGCAAGCTCATTCCAGGCTGCCATCTTAAAACAAAATATTTGATGGTACTGCTGCTACTGCAATTTCCCGCAGGCCCTGCGCCGCTAACTGATTTAACTCTCTACTGAGCACCTGCTGTGAGAGAGAACCCTGTGCTAATCCTGTGGGGCACAGCTTCGAGCCATGACCATTTGATGGCAACCACAGAGCGGTATTGTGAGGTCTGGACCCCTTGAGGACGGGCCGCAGCCCCAGGAGGCGATACATGATCTCTGCTGGGCGGGGCCCAGGCAAAGCCAGTCCACTGTTTGGGACCTGACGGAAGAGCCCCCAAGAAGCCCAGGGGAGACACCCCAGGAGGCTTCTAGAAATGGTGACTTCCCTGGGTGGGCAGGGAGGAAAGGGCATTCACATTTACTGTTGTTAACCATGATCCATTTTCCCAAATAAGTATACATTCTGTTCCTGTTTTTTTGTTTGTTTGTTTTTTGTTTTGTGTCTGTCTGTCTGTCTGTTTTTGTCTGTCTGTTGTGTTGACTTTTCTCTTCAGGACCCCTGCTGCCTTGGTGATCCTGAGCTGACAGCCAGAGAGCACAGCGGCTGAGCTCCTGGAGAGTGAGGGTTGAAGAACGCGGAGGGCAGCGCCCACGCCCGCGGGCTCCCATTAGGTCGGTTCCTGCAGCGGTGTTCAGCGGCCTTGGCGAAGGCCCTGCCTGACAGAGATCATGTATTGCCTCCAGTGGCTGCTGCCTGTCCTCCTCATCCCCAAGCCCCTCAACCCCGCCCTGTGGTTCAGCCACTCCATGTTCATGGGCTTCTACCTGCTCAGCTTCCTCCTGGAGCGGAAGCCTTGCACAATTTGTGCCTTGGTTTTCCTAGCAGCTCTGTTCCTCATCTGCTATAGCTGCTGGGGAAACTGTTTCCTGTACCACTGCTCCGATTCCCCACTTCCGGAATCAGCACATGACCCCAGTGTTGTGGGCACCTAACAGCCTGCACATTTAGCTTTCTAAGGAAGCAGAAGACGGGAGGGGAGGCATTGACATAGGTCATAAAGCATTGGAGTTTCAAATCCCGCAGCCTGCGGGTGCCACATTCCTGACGGCGCCTTTTTGGCCTGTGATGTTTTATCCTTATAATGTGAATAATAGCACTGACAGGTGCTTTTATTGTAGAGTCCTATAGTCGTGGGTGGTCTTGTGGTTGTGTGTGTTCTGTCCCCATCTTGGTCCCAGCTGTCAAGATGCACCCCTCCCCCCCCCCCCCCCCCCCCCCC